TCTTTAACAAATGGGATAAAATAGCAAAATAAAGAACTTTGAAAAAATAAGTCACTTTGAACTTAAGCAAGTGTACTTTTAATAGAGTAGTATAGGCAGAAGCCATGTGGGAAAGTAAAAATGGTGTAGGAAGTGAGTAAGTGGAAATGAAAGAAGAAAAATGTGTAAAAGAGTTTGGCAGTGAAAGGAAGGGGAGAAATAATACTGGAGACAGCAACACCATGCAAGGTTATGAATTTTTGTTTTAAACATGAACCTCAAATCAAGATCTTATGACAGATTTTTTTATCTCTTCTGGGGACAATATACACTCCAGGAAGAAGTATTGGGATTTGAAGGACATTTCTTATGTCTTACAAGGATGACGGGACAAGTTTTTGAAGAATCACCACAGAAAATCTAGGATGTCTAGTTGCTGAATATTATTAGTCTAGGGGAAACATTGCTCTTGCTGGAATAGAGGGGAGCTTGTGGGAGCAAGGCCCCTTGGCTGTCAGGAATGAGTCAGAGGAAGGAAGCTGGTGGTGCAGCGGCAGAAAGAAAGTAGAATTCCTTTTCTTCTGAAACTAGAGTGAGTGAAGGTGTGGAGGATGGATAGAGACAGAAGTGTGTTGATGTGGGTGGCGTGGGTAAATCAGGCATGCTTATGTGTATTTTGACGTCAGAAAAACAGGACATGAAGTCAACTACTAAACTTGAGTGTAGGATAGAATTCATTTTTGTTTATTGATTCATGCATTTATTCAGTCAGCATGTTAAGCACTTACCACATACTGTGGTAGGCCTGAGGGATTTATAGACACATACAGTCATGCATCACCTAACAACAGGGATATGTTATGAGAAATGTGTCATTAGGTGATTTTGTTGTTGTGCGAACATCATAGAGTATACTTAGACAAATCTAGATGGTGTAGCCTACTACACACCTAGGCTATGTGATACTGATCTTATGGCACTATCGTAATACATGCGGTCCATCAGTGACCAAAATGTTGTCATGCAGCGCATGACTGTAGTTCTAGCCACAGCCCAGAGTAACTACTACTGTGTGTTTAGAGGGGAATCAAGATAAAGGAAGTGAAAGTAGTGCAGAAACAACATAAGTTGGACGTTGCAAATCAATATTGGACCACCTAGGAACCAGATCCTAATAGCCAAGTCTGTCCCCAACAGGCAGGTGGGAAGGATCTATGGTTGAAGGACTGATATTGTGGGCACTCTAGGAAGACCAGAGTGAAGGTTAGTGGTGAAAGTAACACAAAGTACCGGCCATGGTATTGAAGCTAGAAAGGAAATCTGGTGTAACTAGAGAAAGCTGATGGTTTCACAGACAGTAAAAAGGTGAGATCTTACAGCCAGGTCTTGGTGCTGAGTCAAGCAAATGCATTGTGTGAGGCTACATGTCTAGTAATGGAGTAGAATTTTGGCCTCATCCATCCTGGGTATCCTTAGGAAAGTAATTTAGTCTGACCTGACTATCCAAATCAGCCATTACCATAGAGACACATTCACGTGTAGCATGGGCAATTTTGTGTTATCAGTTAATAGATTACTCTCTTTCCAGATTATCTACATCCAGGTTTGTCAAAGGCTGTCTTCCTTCTGCACCATTCTGGTCTATGCTCTCTTCAATAACACCATCAGGAAAAGCAAATAAAAAAATCTTTGAATTATCTGTACTGGATTATAACAGAATGTGCATGGGCTTTGGGAACCTGCGTTTGAATACTTGTTCCACTATTTAAAATAGTAAACTTAAGCAAATCACTTTTCCATTTTGAGTCTAACTTTCCAAATCTGTGAAGTATGTTCAGTAATGATTGTCTCCCAGGATTGTTGTTCGAACTCAGTGAGATAATAGAGGTAAAGCAGTTACCATAGTGCCTAGCCTATCTTGGTACTCATGAAACATTATGGCCCTTTTCTCTATTTAATTAGCAATAGCCACATCATTGCTGTGAGACAGGTTTGAAGCCTAGCACAAGTCAGTGGCTGAGCTAATACCTGCTTCTTAAAGACACATAGGGACCCACTCTAGCTTCTCAATATTATACGATGGAGGCCAGCTGAGGTCACTCTTCCCTCCCTTCTCTCCCTTTGTGGCCTTAGGAACAGGATGCCCCTAACTAACCATATAGCTTGTCTAATATGTTCAAAACCCTTGGCTGCAAGTGACAGGATCCCAACTCAAACTAGCTTGAGCAAATCAAAGGATTTTATTGGCCCAGAGAGCTGGGAACTTTGGGGCTTCAGGCACCGCTGGATCTGCAACGTTCAAATGATGCTCTCTAGGCTCTTTCTCCCCATCTCTGATTCTATTTTTTCTCCTTATGGTATGGATATCAACCTATGAGAGTCCCAGATTAATGTCATCCTGGCCTAGAGATTCCAGCATGAGGGATGGAGTGGGGAGCAGAGGTAAGGAGCAAGAAACTACTTTGTCCTAGTGTCTACATATATTCAGTGTAGCAATGGGCTCTCACTGGTCCTGCTTGGGTCCTATGGCCATGCTCAGAAAAATCGCTTTTGTGGGAGAGGTGTGGGTGGAGCAGTGGGGGAGTTGAGAACTCTAATCTGATTTAGCCTGAGTGACATGCCCACTTTGGGGAGGAGTGAGAGGAGCACGGCCAAGTGATCAATAGCCCCACTGGAACCACAAAGAATGAGGAAAGGGCTAGAGTGCTAAGCAGACAAATAAACTACAACTCTCCACTAAACACAGCCACCAGACATCACTCCTTGTGGCACATAGTCATGATGTGTCATCTGATATAGAACATTGTGGAATGGTGAGGCACACTGTCTACTGGGAAGGTAAATTAATGTGGTACACCATGGAGCTGTGATACACAGTTGAAAGGTGAGAAACACTGTGCGGAGTTCAAACACACTGTGGTGAGGGGCAGTGTTGCCACACCAGAGAGCCCAGCCTCACCTTCAGCTGCTGCTCCCTATTGCTACCCAGTCTCTCATGACTACCGTTAGGCCTGTGCTCTTTTCCTTGCATTGCACCTGGCACCCCCTCCACACAACCAGGCTATTTCTTCACTGAGCACTTCCTTTCTTAAGCCATCCCCTGCAGCTGAGTAGCATTTTATTCACTGTCTTTGGGGAAGATACAACATGGGTCACACTGTATTACAGCACTAGGCACCTAACGACTTAATGGATGAATGGGTGAGAACACATTACTGAGAGGGTGAACAGAGCAAATAACTGAACTCATCCTCACATTCAACAAACATTTATTAACACGTAAATGGATAAGGCTTGGCTCCCTGTTCTCAGAATGCTCAGTGCAGAGGGGCAGACAATCACAAAGTTACAGCAGAATCACAGTAGAATAAGTACTATCACTGAGGTACAGACAAAGTACTTTGGAGGCACAGTGAAGATATAGGGGTGAGAGAGGAGCAATTTTCCAATTTATACCTGCCTAGAGCATTCAGGGAAGGCTCCAGAGAAGTCATCTGTGAGTTGAGCCTTGAAGGAGGAGTAGAAACCACCAGGTGAAGAGTCAAGGAAGGAGACCTACAGGCTAGGGCTCAGAGATGTATGTAGCTAAGGTCAGGCAAGCGAGAGGTTCAGGGAACCAGGCATGAATGATGGAATAAGGAAAAAAAAGAGTAAGGAATGAGCAGGACTGTGGAGCACAAACCTCCAGCTCTACTGTAGAAATTTAAAGGTCTTATTTCCCCATGGAGAGGGGAGGATAGAGGAGGGTGGGAGGTCCCCAGTAATGGGTCCCTGCCACTTCCTCAGTCAGGCCATGGGGTTTAAACACCAAAGCCAGAGCTTCATGGTTGTGATCTAATATCTCTAGGCCACTAAATTGTCAAGAGCCCTTTTTGGAAGCAAAGAACTTATATGAGCAATGCAGGCCTAAATGGAAGAAGGTCCCTAGTATTTTCATCTTTCTCATATGCAGTTGATCATGACTAAGAAATAGCTCTACTTCCTTGAGGAAATCAAACGAGGTATGGAACTTGAGAGGGGAAGGTGCACTAGAGTGCAGGCCTTGCAGCAATCTCACAATCGAATGGTAAAATGATGGCTACAGTCTCTTTTTTTTTTTCAAATTCAAATTACATATTAACATAAAACTTAAATATATATTCACAAACCCCTTAAACCCATTTGTCTTGTTATTCCTGTCTCCTCCATTTACTTCTTTCATATCCCTATGTATTTTAATACGCTTAAATTAAAAAACAAAACATTTAAGCTTTTTAATTTAAATAATTTTTTCTTTTTGAATACTTTTAATTCTTTTCATTCTTTGATTTTTATTTAAATATTTTTGTAAAGGTTTAAAATTTTTTTATCCTTTTTGTTTAAAAATTTAAAGTTTTTATTTAAATAAAATTATTTATTTAATATTATAATTATATTTATATATCAATATATATTGATATATAAATATCATATAATTAAAATTATAATTAAATATTATTTAAATTTAAATGTAAATTTAATTGTTTAAATATTATTAAAATATATTTAAATTAATATAATTATTTAAATATAGTTTAAAATTCTCTATTTTTCTCTAATTTTTCCTTTTTAAATTTAAAATTTTTAAACAAATTTTGTCTCAAGTCTTGAATTGTTTTAAACTTTTCGCTCAACTTAAATTTGAATTTTCATTCCATTCTGTGTTTTATGAAAGTCTATTTCTTAATCACTAAACTATTCATGAATTTTGTTAACCTTTGATTTTTCAACACATATTTTATGCAAGATTTATTTATAGTAACATTTTATTTCATTTAAACTTTTAGAGTTTCCTCTTTTAACTTTTTAAAACTGTTTCACTTTTTTAAATTTTAATTTATAATTTTTTTCTTGTTTTATTCATTTTACCTTTTTTAAACTAAGAATTTCTAAGAATTTGCTTTTAAGCCTCATTTTAATAATTTTGAAGTTTTAAATTAAAAAACTCCCTGTGATTTTTAAAACATTTCTTTTAAAAGTATTTAACTTAAATTTTTTTCAACATTTAAAAATACTTTTCTTTTAAAATTTTTTTTTTAAATATTTTTCTTTTAAAGCTTTTTAGAATTTCTTTTAAAATATTTTCCTTTTTTTCTAATCATTTGACTGGTCAGCCATAGCTGGAACACCAGTCATGAAGCTTTTTGCTGATGAAGGAATAGTCTCTGACTTCTCACAGTATTTGTGTAGAAACAAATGACATATAGCAGTGTCAGAACATCTCTAGTCTCACTCTCCCCACCTAAAGCATCCTTTCCATTCAATTATGCTTTATGTGACCATTTTCAACCTCTTCTCCCTCCTTTCATTTCTTAAGACTGACTGGTCATTAGTTAGTATTCTTCCTCTTATAGATCCATAGGCCATGGTAAAGTAGGCTCTTTATATCAAGGTGCTAATTGTCATATAGGTGCTATTGTCATTGTCCATTTCAGAGAGGTTTTTGTGTTACTTCAAGAGGTGCTGGTTGTTGCATTGGTATTGTCCTTGTCCATTCCAGGTAGGCTTGTGTGTCACTTCAGGATCCTCACCTATTCATTTCTTTTACTTTTTTCTGGTAAGTGGTCTGGTAAAACTAGTCTTTCTCTACACCCTGTTTGTGATAGAATAGTAAATATCCTTCACTGTAGAGTAAGTCCTCAATGGTAGCCTTGGTGATGACAGCATCATCACAGCTGAACCACTGGTCCTTTTGTTGCCGGATAAAGCTGGTGTAGTGTCCACTTTCCAAAGTTCCATGGTGATTAATCACTGCAAACAAGGAATACTTATTCTCATTGGGTGCACAATCTGTTGGCAGCTGGCCTTCCATTCTGCTGTCTTTAGTGGAGGCCAAAAATGGAGTCATGTCCAGCTCCAAGGGAAAGGAGATAAAAGTATTAATCTTTCGCCTCTGCTTGCCTACATGTTCAAACCGCTTGAGATGAAAACAGGCCACAATGGGTAATTTCTTCATTGTGAGCTGTTTGGTAGACTCCTGGTAGCTTTGGCAACTACTGCATTTGATTTTAGCACTGCTTCCAAGGTGCTCTGGCCTTGTAAACCACTGCAGGCAGTCTGTGAGTGAGGGGATTCCTGGTACGTGGTCATCCCTACTCACTGTGCTGTCAGCCCTCTCTGGACTCTGGGAACCGAATGTGGCATAAGAGCCAGGCAAATCCAGACTGATGTCCCAGCATGGATCTATTGTGGTAGAGACGCTATGGCAAGCCTGACATGTGACATCTGACTGCAAGCCACCTGTAAAGATTTGGTCTATGATGCAGTTACAGCAGTTGGGGTTATTGGCCTCCTGCCCAACACTATCATCTTTGCTGTGTCTATGCAGCACATCTAATATTGCAATAAGGAACTCATGAGCATCCTGCTGCCTGTATCCCGCTAAGTGTTCTGCATGAATCCATATTAGGTGCAGTAACTTATAGGGAATGTGAGGAGTTCGGCTCCCAGAGTACATAGCATGAAAAAGCGAAGACATTTCACAGACAAGACACAAGCTGGGGCTTGTCATTATACATTTGTGCTTGTCAGAGAGGAAGAAATCTTTCAGTAGAGGAATATGGGTAAGTGCCTGGACAATACAATTCATAAAGCAAGTGTTTCCAAGATTGATTAGCCCTCTTAGGCCCACAGTATAGACTGACTTTTTTCTCCTCTTTTTCTTGGGTTTCACCAGTTTTGGTTCCTGTTCTTTTAACTCACAGATTGTTTGCTTCTCTTCAACACCTGATGTCATACACTGTTGTTGAGAAACATCTGTTGAGATGGAAATTAATAACTTCAAAATTTTCCCTTTCGTTTCTTTGGCAATCTGTTCTATGTCTCTGTCATATACGTAATCCTTACACATAAAGCAATATACAACCCCATGATAGAGGTCTACTGCTAAATTGTGCTGTTTTGTTTCTGCATGTTTGTGAATATGTTTCTCAGTAAAGCAGCCAAAAAAGACACAGGAGAGACAAGAGTGGAGTCTGTTCATATGGGTACTACATACATGACAGATGCACGACTTTGCCTTACGTTTCCTAGTCTCTGGGGTCCCACTCCAAACGAAACGCTGGTAGATCAACCGCAGGTTCTTCTGCCAGTTCTTGGCTACTTTAAAGCTCTCCACATGAGAACAGCCCGAGGGACCCTGATCAAACTCCAACTCCAGTAACCAGTCCCCTAAGCCACCTCGATCCCCAGAGCCGCCTAGGTCACCAGAACAGCTTCGCCGTGTCTGGGGCCTGGAACCCAGCCGGGATCTACGCCGAGATCTGCGCCAGGGCCGTGGCTGGGACTGAGGTGGAGGAAGAGGACGGGCTGGAGGTAGAGGTGGGGCCGAGGTCCCGGGACGGGCTCGGGAGCGGGCCCAGCGCTGGGGCCGAGGGCGGGGCTTGCGGCGCAGGCAAAGGGGAGAGGAACTGCTCTGACAGTGAGGGGGGGTTGAAGGGAGCACCTTCTCGTCGTCGCCGCTGTCGCTACCGCTCCACGTCAAGTTCTCCTCAGGTGCGGGCTTACGCTCTTGTAGTGGCTCCAGCTTCATCTCCTCAGCTCCGTGGCCTGAACACGCCTTCGCAGCCCCCACCGCCGCCGCCTCCTCCTCCATTTCCCCCGCCTTCTCAGCCGCCTCCTCGGGTGAGGCTCCTCCCCAACTTGCCAAGCTCTAGCCGACCCAACAGCTGGAGGGCAAGGAAGCTTCTAGAACTTGGGCCATCAGCTCACCGCCAGGCCTGAGGAGAAAGGCCTCTGGAATCGAACTGCGACTGTAGATGGAATGAGACAGGGATTTCTGTGAATGATTTGGCCAGCGTCACGGCCGCGGTGCGCCATTAGCGCCCCGAAACACCTCCCACCAGCCCTTGAGCTCAGCTGGCGGCCGCTGTGGGCTCCACCCCCTCTAGTCAGAGGCTCCCAGAGCTGGTGTTACCTGGTTTAAAGGCGATCGGATCATGCCCAGGCGGGGGGACGAACGGAGGAAAAGTTGGGGGCGGGGATACGGTCTGAGCATTAGGGTGGAAAGAGATGGAACCTTCTTTAAAAAAGGCGCCACCCTCTCAGTGCCTGTCCTGCGCCTTGCGCAGCCTCGCTTTGCTACAGCTTCCTCTGACGTTCTTTCCTTATGACCTAAAAAACACTTGGGTCAACATTTTACCTTAAAAATGGCTGAAAGGATACAACCTATGGAAAATGGGTTCAGAGGAAGAAAGTGTCCCCTTGCTCCCACCTTACCTATGCTTCTGGGGCTGGCCGTGTTCCACCCTTTGCCCCTATCTCCGAGCGCACTCTTTTGGTCAGCCACGCTCTTGCGCCCTCTGACGTTCTTTCGCGCTTGTGTTCCCTCTCACACCTGGTTTCTTGCTTCAGAGCCCTGATTCCCTATAATTCCTCCGAGAATTCGGACTCCTTCTCAGCCCGCCTCACTTTCGGCGTCCCCAGCTTCAGTGCCCGACCCCTGAAGTCCCTGCCCCTTCCCGCCCCGGCTCCGCAACGCCCCCAGCCCAGCTGTTTATTTAAAGGTTTCTGAGTTACCTTGGGCCCCAGGCGCGTGATATAGAACGTCAGCAGCTGCTGGCTGTCCAGGCACTCCTCATCCAGCCTTCTCTCCTGACCTCTCCTCAGGGCTGGTCACACGGGGGCCGCCCCCTGGCCCCTCCCCTCTCGACGTGTGGCCCCTCAGTCGTGGATTCTGCCCTCCTGTAGTGATGAATTGCACCACTGTCCATTGCAGTCAGACAAACCTCTTCCTGAAACAACTTCTACTGGAAGTAACTACAGGGACAGATTCTAGAGAAAGCTCCTGAAATGGAGATTCTGGCCTCATCTGTTTACAGGCCCACTCTCCACAGCAGAAAAAAGATTACTTGGCGTGGGGGTCGGGATGGGGGTGGGAGGTTGCAGGGATGGCAACTCCCTGGCAGGAATCCCTCAAGGACCCATCAGAGTCTGATCTCTGGGAGTTAAGTGGAGAGAGGAATATTATTCTGGAGTGTGGGGAGAGGAAGCGTAAGCAAGGGCTCAGGCTCAGATAGGAGAGCCCAGGCACTTGCCAGCTGTGTAAGCTCAGATAAAACACCTAACCTCTCTGAGCCTTAGTTGTGTCATCTGTTAAACAAAAATGGAAATAATAATAATCCTAACCTGTTATGAACACTAAATCATACTATATATAAAGTAAAGGATCTTTATGGCAAGCTTTATCTTTCACACCTCTCTTTCTGTGTCCCCACTTTAAAATCAGCCTATAGCACAATGCCTGATACTTAGAGTAGAGGAAAAGAGGACACGTCTGTCTTTCAAAGCTCTCCCAAAGTTATTGCTCAGTTCACCGGATTGTCCCTCCTAAGCAGTTCATGTATGTGAGCATGCATTCAACACATGTGCGTGGGTCCTTTAATTGTATTACTGTGCTGGGTTGTGCTGTAAGAAACACAGCAAAACGATTGGTGTTCTCCGGGAGTTTAGCCCAGGAGATTTTTCCTTCTCTTTCACAGATCCACTGTCCAAGGCCACAACCCCCACAAAAGCTGCTGTCTTCAGGGCTTGTTGCCCTTCCTGTCCAATCCCAAGAATACTCCTGCTCATCAGTGAGGGTGTTTAGTGCAACATTTAATCTCTCTGGGGCAGTCATGCACATCCTCTCTAAACCTCGGGATTAGAATTCACTTCTCTCAGGCTTGAGGGTAGTATCTTGTAGATGCCTTTCCCAAATGGATGTCAGTGATTTTAGGATGTCAACGGGATTCCATAATCCATGTGAATTTTCAGAGTGAGTACAGATCAACGTGGTCTTGGAGAAAAGAACCACCCTAACCGTCCTGTAGCTCAGAGTGACTATAGGTTGAGAATTTCAAATAAGAGTCAGTCTCCTTCAGAGGAATATGTTTGCAGGAACCTTTGCCTGGGAGACAAGAGAGCAATGCTGTTACACTTTTCCATCATTATTAGCTGCATTTGTAACCTTAAGCAAGCTACACGTCATCTCTACAACTCAGTTCCTCAAGTAAGAAAAGAGCTGGTTTGACCTGTTGGCAACCCGGGACAACTTAGCAGTAATCCTAATGAGGTTACTTGGCCTCCAAGTCAGCTAATGGCCACATAGCTGAGTGGAAATGCCACCGCCACTCTCACGGTTCTAACTGCCCCAACCTCACAGCGGAGAAAGAGGGCTTATTGTTTTCAGGCTAGCATTTTCACAGCTAAGCTCTGGGTATAGGAGCCTTGAGAAGGAACCTCAAAAGATGGGATGACCCACTCAAACTGCGGGGCCTTTTGGTATGTTAGTTTGTCTTCTTCTGGAGTTTTCAAAGGACTTTTATTAAAAATAATATAATAATAACAAGGATAGCAGGATTTTCCAACACCAGAGAACTTGGACCTGTGTAAATATTGGAGATTTAGATGTGGAATTTGGATAGATTGCACCAGAGGGTGGAGGAGTGCACTCACAAGGTGGCAGTGAGGTGAGAGAAGCAGAAATGGGGTCACTAGTGGGTGCCTAGGAGGACTTTGAGGGGAGGCAGGGTCAGAGAGAGGAAATAGTCTGCCCTCCTGCTAGTGAGTGAGTGGGTGGCACAGGGAAGATGAAGGCCTCTGATGGCCTGAGGGGGCAGCCCCTCCTACCCCCCTTGCTTCCTCCCCTCCATCTGAATTACCCATTGTCTTGTGTGTGCCTCCTTAGGCAGAAATCTGCAGTGGAGTAAGGAGAGCTCAGTGGCCCTGGAAGTCCCAACAGCATCACCCCTACCTAACAGACAGTCATTGCCTCCACATACTGGCCTGCTCCACCCAAGCTGAACCTTGTGATTCTGATCCACCTCTTGACAATAGAGCACTGAGGTCTACAACAGGGAGAGGGAGCAGGTCCTCAGGATTCCACAATGACTCCGAAGTCACCCCAGGGGTCCTGCCCCAGCTGCATCCCCGGAGTTGGCTTTGGTCTGGACCGATCTCCAAGGATCTGGCCTCCCTCCTGGTTTCCCCTTGCTTTATACCCAGCTCAAATGTTCCCTCCTTCAGGAGGCCTTCTCTGACCCTCCGGATCTGGAGGGGAGGGGGTCCCTCGGAGTACAGCAGCACTACACAGGCAAGGCCCTGCTGGGCCCAGCCTCTCTAAGAAGAGTCCTTTTGGGTCCCTCAGTTTGGACCCTGCCCCAGCCCCTCACCCTCTCCTAACCCTGCCCCTTTTGTCAGCAGAGGGAAGGCTGCGTGAAGTGACTGCCCACAAAGAAAGAAGTTGTCCTGTGGCAGTGTAGCTGGAAAACACGTCCAAATCTCAATCATATAAAAGTACCTGGAGGGAAAAGTCTTTGGAAATGCAGACTAATTTAGAAGGAAAGTACTTTTTTTTGGTCCCCCTAAGTAAGGACATTTGCTCAGCCATAGCTAACAAAAGAGTTGCTCATTTCTGGGTTAGCAGACCTAGATGGAAATGCTGACTCAGTCATTTGCTAGTTGTGTAACTAGGATGAGGCACAATAATTTATGTCTCTTACAATTTATCAGCTAATGCTGGTGCTGAATGCTGATGCTGCTGGTATGGGGACAGGACTTTGAGAACCACTGCTGTGGGTTAATGTATAAAGAACCACAGGTCAAGGCCATCTGGCCTTAGTAGCAGGAACCCTTTCTGAGGTGGCTGCTTTCCCAGAACTATTTTATTGTGGCTTCTCTTATGGTTTTCTAACTGCAGCAGGTGTTGGGGGTGGTTTGGGGTGGAGTGGAATAGGAAAGAGAGGGATCTGGAAGAAGCCCGCATCTGTGCTCCTGGCGCCTCAGGACCTTTAAAATGGGCCCCCTGCAACCTCACGCAGCATCTTTCTCTCAACCTGGGCCTCTTCTCCTCGGTCACCTCACTTCTCTGAGGCCAGCATTCCAAAAGGCAGACTTGCAGCCATTGCCTGCCCCTGACTACTTCTCCAGGGAGAATGCTGTGAACTGGGTTTAGGTCTTTGGGGACCCACATTGCCTGCCAGCCTCCTGCCCCCTCCCCACCTGGATCCCTTCTTTTGCTCCTTTTCTTCCCTGTGCCCCAGCTCTTAGCTGGTCTGCCCCCAGCCTTCAGAAGCAGCAGCCTCAGACACCACTGCTGTGTGCACTCTCCTGCTCACAGACCCACGGTGACTCCCTGTGGCCTCTTGGTTTTTCAAAATGGAAACTTCCCAACTCACTCGAACTCCCCCCACCCAAATATGCCCAGCCTCATCTTCACTTTCTGCCCTTCGTGACTCTGGTGCTTCAACCCGCAGAAGCCTCTGTATTGTCCCTGTCTGTGAGAGAACATACATGAAAATACCCAACATGTCAGCTCAACTCCTTCCTTTTCCTATGGATTCTCATTTTAAAACATCTCCTAGCACAGGCGTTCTCAAACTTTTAGTGCCATGGGACCCTTTGGCAGCTGGATGTAGCCTGTGGCTTCCTTAGGAGAATAATATTTGTTTATAATAAATGCATAAAATTAAATATGCAGGATTATAGCAAATTTATTAAACTGAAATATGGGCTTGCAATTTTTTAAAAAATACTGTGATTTGATAACATAAGTATGTCTTTATTAATGCATTAAATAACAGTATCTAGTGATGGACAGAGTAACTACCATAATTTCAAAGCAGTGATGAGCATAAACAATACTTTGAGAAGTGTGAAACAAATGTAACATGATATGAAAATCTTTATTGGTGACATTGTCACATGTACTACTAATATTACTGTGGTCTCTTGCCTAGGTTCATAATTGAAGGACATGCTCAATTTAAGGCAGAGGTAGGTGAAAATAAAGAAAGACACTGGTCTTTTTCCCATGCATATGCACAGACCTCTCTGAATTCGATATTCTGACTGCTCTTGCTTCATAATGCCCTGAGCACTTTGTCTGCTTAGTGGGCAAATGTATTACAAACCATCTATTAAGTGCATATTATGTACTCTTCTCTACACGCATTAAAATGTATCCTATCACTGGTAGTGCAAGGTAGCTATCATTATCCACACCGGAAAGTTGGAAAAACGGAGGGATCATTTCACATTGACTCAAGATCATACAGATGAGAATGAAGCCCTGGAGCCTTCAGAACTTTTGACACAGTGCTATAATCTGTCTCCTTATCATTTTTTTGCTCCAGCTCTTTAAATGGTAGAATGTAATTGGAGCATGTGGCTCAGTTCACTATGTTTCCACACAATTCTGAGTAAATTACTGAGTATTTGTGGGGGGGAGTCAGGAAACCTCATTCATTGAAGAAGCCAACAGACTGCATGTCCCAGTAGGGGAGGGGTGAGGACGCTGGAGCTATAACTGGAGGATCCCTTCAGGTCTGACTATGCAGAGACTCTGAAAGAGGGGCTTACCTGGAGGCTCAGCAGAAGGGCATGAATGTGGAGTTGATATTCAAACAGTACACACCAGTAACCATAATTTTTTTTTTAGTACTGAAATATTTCCGTGCCGGTAAGTATATATAATAGAACCTGTGAGAAGTTTTAAGGTAATGACATAAATTTTCACATAAATCATTAGATGTCATGCTGACCACTGCTAAATGGGCATCCTATTGCAGTGACATCTGAGAAACATCCACGGTGCTTATTGACTGCAAGTTTGACCTGTCTCATGGTAGCCAGTGCAATTGCGTTTTCCACTTTTTATGCAGTACTCAATGCTTTAGAACAAGTCACTACTTCGTCATTATGTTTAATTTACATAATTGGTACTGCTGCTGAACACATTGGTTTTTATGTTGATTTTTAAATTTTCAGTTATTGTTAGTTCTCGTTGAAGAATAGTTATAGTTCTTTTCAATGGGTAGAATATTTTGATATCTAAAATTTTAAGATTTTTAAATAAGAAAAGCAAAAGCATGCAGAATCAAGAGAGCACCAATTTTAAATAATTATCTCTACCGTTATGTTAAATGTAAAGGGCCATGAATCTTCTGAATCTCTGGGAGAATAAAAGAGATTTTATAATAACAAATGAACTGCTGCCTGGCTCATCTCAGAGCATTGTGAAAAAAGTAGAATAGTCTATATCATCTTTTGGACAGTGTAAGAATCTGTAAAAAATAAGACAATGTATATATCTGACATGAAAATCCACCCGATTATTTAATTTTAGGAAGAAGTGGTTTATTTTATGTACCAGGTTTTAAAATTAATATTTTAAATAGATAATATGCACAAAGCAGAAAATTCAAAAAGTACAAAATTGTATGTAGTGAAATATTTCCCTCCCTCTCCTGACCCCGGGCCCTAGCTTCTCCCTGCCAGAGACAGCTACTATTTCTAGTTTCATGTGTATCTTTCCAGAATTATTCTACGGAAATACAAATCTAAATGGGTACTGTCTAGTTCATTTTTAACACAAATGGCAGCAGTGATATAAGCGTTGTGCTTGCCAGTGTTTTTAAAACTGACATATATCCTAGAAAGCATTCCATGTCAGAACATAAAGAATTACAAAGTTACAGTTGTGTAGGAGGTATAAGTCTGGATGTCTAATGTACATGGTGACTGTAGTTAATAATACCACATGGAATAATGGAAATTTGCTAAGAGAATAGATTTCAGGTGCTGTCACCACACACACACAAAATGATAACTGTGAGGAGATGATATGTTAATTAGTTTGACTGTAGTAATCATTTCCACGTGTGTATGTATGTCAAACCATGAGATTCTATACCTTAAATATATACAATACTTATTTGACAAGTCATTCTTTAAAAGTGCAATAGGGTGATAGTAGCTTTTTTTTTTTTTTTTTTAAAGAACATAAAGAGTTGCTTTATATTTCAGTGGCTGCATAAGATTTCTGACCTTGATAATTTTAACCAGTTCCTTTATGGTAGATATTTTGGTTACTTCTTACTTTTCGTTCTTGCAATCAATGCTGCAAAGAATACACTTGCACAAGGTAATTTCACACATCTGTGTATCTATCAGTGGGACAAATACCTGGAAATTTATTCAAAAGCTGTTTCCTGAATGTCTACTGAGTGCCAGGTTGAGGACTCACACTCAGGATTACAACACGCTTAAGTTGCACACTCAAGTTGCATCACGCAAAGTGACGCAACAATGCATGATCCATTGTTGTGAACCCCAGTGGTTCACGTGGTTGTCAATATCAACAGTCAGGGCACAAAACAGCCACAGCAACCAGGGGAGGCTGTAATCCACGCGGTATCCATTGGACACTAAAAGCACTGCTGCTTTCAGCCCCAATTTTGGGGGCCGCCACAAGAGCTCTGTACTTTCCCCCCCAACTTTCCACATCCATCTGTGA